AAAGCCCACTGTCAGTGTTTCTTGCCGGCTGTTCCCTGAATATTGTTTCTTGTCCTGTCTATCTATGACTGCAATTATAAGATCATGCTTATTATGACTTCTCTATAATTTGAGAGCCATGTTTTTCCAGTAAGCCTCTGCTGTGCTTTCCTGGTGGTGGTGATTCTTTTGGAGTGGGTCGCACATTATTTGAAATTTTCTATGTAACAGTTTTTGGCGATATTCACAAAATGTGGATTTTATTTCACAATTCATTTTATTTTGCTGTTATATGATGCTGTTTGATACACACATTTGATGTACAATCTAGACATGTGCACGCTGGAAATTTTCATTTTATTTTATTTCTGATGCATTCATTCATTGAATAATTTCTTTATATCATATGCATTATGTTGAACCGTTTCATTTATTAAATTTTGTATCTTTGGCATTCACTTTGTATATTTGTTGGTTTGTGTGGATTAAAAAAAAAATTGGCAGTTTTTTTTAAGATTTCTATATATTAGTTTTTGGTTTCACTATTCAAAATTTTTGAAAAGGAAGGGGAAAGAGAGGTGCCAAGCCGCCAATGGTGTAGCAGGGTTTATTCGATATAAAGGGTTAAAATACAGTGAATATGCTCTCACAAAAGTCACGGATGGCAGGCATGTAACCAGCTTGTCCTAGGCAACACTAAAATTGGGCGGCACCACAACTCTCGGCCAGGGCCATCTTTAATATTGCTTGGACCCATGGTAAACATTGCAGAAGATGTCCTCTGCTTCTGCTAACACAGAGATGAGTGCCTCAGACCTTTCACTAGATGACACTAGGGAATTAGCAGACTCCATACTTGCTTTCCCTACTACTAACCAGCCAGGTTTAGAAACCACCTTAAAGGTCTCACTGAGAAGCACTATTCATACCGATAGATGGAGGAACGATATTTTCCTCATGACCCTGCCTGAAAATAGAAGCACAATAGCTCAACTTGATAAATCGTATACCATAACGTTATTCGCAGATGATGTAATTTTGATGTTAATGAACCCGACTCTTTCCCTGGCCAAAGCTTACGAGACATTACAACTTTTTAATGAAGTGTCTTACTATAAAGTTAATTAAACCAAATCTAGTATTTTTAAGCGTCAATATCAACTCTGGGCTGCAAGCCTCTCTACAGGCACAATTCTTTTTCCCATGGAACAAGGGATCGTTAAAATATTTGGGCATCTCTCTAACATTCCCTATTAGCAATCTCTTTACAGCAAACTACAACCACCTCATTGAGATGTGTTGAGACCTAGAGAAATGAAAGAGGCATTACTTATCATGGTCAGGCAGATTGGCAGCAGTTAAGATGCTTATTCTCCTGAAGATCTTGCACTACTTTAGAACATTGCCCATTGGTATATCCAGAAACTTTTATCAAACACTCTTCAAACTAAGATTTCCAAATTTTCTTGGTTAAACAAAAAATCCAGATGTTCTTTTGCTGTTCTTGTGCAACATAGAAAAGCAGGAAGCATGGGAATGCCATCCTTAAAAGATTACCACACGGCGTCCATTTTGTACCAGATGCAGTTCTGGATATCAACCCTTAAGCTTCAAATTTGGTGCCAAATATACAATGCCTGTACTCCCTCAGGGGATTTGCGTTCCCTATTGCTGGTACCCAAACAGTGTCAGAATACAATAACCCAATCACATCCCACTATTACGGCGGTATGCACCGCGTGGAACTGCCTTCTTAATGAAGGAAATAATGCTCTTAACACCACAAAAATTCCCATACCGCTGCATTCTCTTAAACTCCTCCTTCAGGGGGTTTCTTTCACACACTGGGTGGATAAAGGGATCCACAATATTTCAGATCTATTCCGCTTAGGGAAGGTGATTCCGTTTGAGGAACGTACTAGCCAAAAAATTTCACATACCCCAACATGACTTTTTACTATATGCCAAAGTGGTAACGTCTTAAATATCATAAAATTCTAGAGCTGATTATCCCAACTCAGGCATGGTCGTTCTGGAATTCTTTTCCACCAGAGAAAGGGGGAATATCCCTCTTCTATACCATACTTCAATCTAAAATGGTTTTCACCAAATCTACTCCTTTGGCCTAATGGGAAAGAGAACTAAACTTATCTATTACAGAAGCTCAGTGGCTAAAAGTAATCAAATGTAACTATTCATTCTCCAGGTGCTCAACCTACTGGGAATTGGCACAGAAAATCCATCTTAGATGGTATTTGACCCCCTATACAATAGCTAATTTTCTAAAGGGGGCTCCAATGTTTGTTGGAGAGTGTGCGGCCAGGTTGGGACGTGGATCCACATGTTTTAGACTGGTCCTAACATTAGAGGGTATTGGACCCAAGTGATCAGACTACTGAAACAAGTACCTGGTTTCCTCAATAGTATTACTGTGGAACAGGCTCTTTTAAATGTGAATATTGATAAATGTCCTTTCCCCATGAAACCTATATATATTAAATATTCTAGCTACAGTACGCCTCTTAATTGTTAGAAAATGGAAATCTGCATTGGTCCCTACCATAACAGAAGTTAAACAGCATTTAGATGTAATATGCGAATACGAATGAATGCTGGCATATAGAGATGGATCCGCTGATTACTTTCACAAAAGATGGCATTCTTGGAAGCAAGTTGTGCAACTACAGGTAGGTGACTTTATTGTGGTTTATTTTAACTGGATGCCAACTTGTCATATCACTGTTTGTTGTTTTACATTCAATGTGCTGTTGATGTCATTCTAAAATGCCATAATGTGTGCTGGATTGATACTTCTATGTACGATATCCTCTCCTGTTTTCTTTTTGCTTTTCCTTTGTCTCATATCTTTCCCATGTTGGGAAATTCATTGAAGACTCAATAAAGATTATTTGAAATATATTTAATTTGTAAATGTCACAGTCAGTCAGTTCAGTTCCACAGTCTAATGCAATTCTTAGGTTTGAAAACTTCGGGGGGCCAAATTTTGCATTACTTATTACGTTGCATCCAAAAATTATATAAAAAAGAATAACAAATTCACTTGAAATGTTGAAACCAAAAAACTAATATATAACAATCTTAGAAAAAAAACAAAAAACTGCTACATTTTTAAAATCCACCTGGACCAATGAATATACGAAACAAATGCCAAGGATACAAAATGAATTCCAAAAACAAATCAGTTCAACATAATGAATATGACAAATTGACATTTTTCAATTAAAAAAACCATCCAAAACAAAATGAAAAATGAGTGCACGTCTAACTTTAAATACACACACACCATAATATACCATATCTTCTCGGTATTGTTGTGTGGATAAGTCAGCAAACAATGGGGATTAAAAAAAAAAATCTAATTGTTAATTGCCTGTTTTTCCTCACGGAGCTCAGCCAATAGCAAAGTTACATATAGTTACATAGTTACATAGTTAGTCTGGCCAAAAAAAGACAAAAGTCCATCTAGTTCAACCATAAAAGAAAAAAACAATATAATCCTATACCCAGAGTAGATCCAGAGGAAGGCACAAAACCCAGCATCTGCTGGAGTCAAAGGTAATCTGGCAAGATTACAGGTCTGGTATGAATATATTATGCAACAACTGAATGTATCTTTAGGTTTTGACTTCAATGAAACATTAAAATATTCAATACAATTTTCTGTCTTCAATAATGAATGCTATAAGGTATATCACTTACCTACAAAGATCGAAGAGAGCAGCAGGATCAGCATATGTAGAGACATTTTAATAGAGGATTCAGCTCCATTAATCCCCCATAGTGAAAGACTTTGTAGAACTGGTTGTGGGAGGGATGTAGAAGAATGCAAAGCATATTCAAATAGTGGAAAAACTTGTTTACCACCATCATCTCTATCCTTTGGCAAATGGACAAGTGGGCAAGTTTTACATAACTTAAATTGTCACTCGATGACTTATATTACTGATTTATTGCTTGCAGTATCTCCTTGGGCTATGAGTGACTTTTAGCAAAACTGCTGTTCCATTTTTTAGGGTAATTTTCATAGAAACAAAAGTTTTGAGCCCAGTTTTTTTTTTTTACCATTTACAGCAATTCTCTTTGATTGTTGCTACTGTATATAATCTTTGTTTTACAAGTAAACATTTAACACATGACAAGGAAATTGTCAAACAAAGGGTACAGCACTGACTGAATGGAAGCTCACTTTATCTGACTGAAACCTTACCTTTTTAAGTTATCCTAAAGGCTAAATTTAAATTTTTTAAAAATAACAAATATCTCATATTTGCCTACTCTGTGCATTGGTTTTACACAGAGCAGCCCTGATCCTCCTCTTCTGGGGTTGCTCCTGGCTACTCCCCTGTCACTTGTGCCTACTCACTCCCCAACTCGCTCTCTGTATCTATTGAAACACACAGCGTGGCTTGGCTCCACCCCCTCTCTCTCCTCCCTGGCTGTGATTGACAATGGCTCCCGCTGCCTCTATGTCCAATGAGGAAAGACAGAGCTTAAAGAGCCATATATGGCGACCCTCTTTTTTATGGCATTTTTAAGGCACAAACAAAACAGGACAATTGAATTTGTAAAAATGTATAGAACCATATTTTATTTTACACAAAATATTTTTTTAAAATGTTCCCATAGATGTGCATAGTATTGCAGTTATACATTACATCTCTATTAAAATAAATGCGCAGGTAAGGAAGGTGGAATTCAAATCATGATAGGGCACTTGATGTGCTTCGAGACAAAAACAATCTCTTCCTCAGAAGTGCCTAAACAAGGCATGATGTGTAACCCAGCAATGAAACAAAAATAGAAGAACCGCCACTTGTTATAAAACCAAAAAACATATATGTAGCCACTGTCTCCAAAGTCCTCCCAAATTGGTGTAGGAGAAAGAGAGGGAAAAGATGCCGCCCTAGTTGCCTCCAAGGGTGACCACTCTAGGGCAAAACCAGGGTGATAGGTAGGATATTCCAAGTTTCGAATTAGTCTTAAACAGTGGATGTATGAACCTTCCTCCCAGGGGCGGACTGACCATTTGGAAACTCGGGCACTGCCCGAGGGCCTGGGGTCAGTAGGGGGCCCCATGAGATGCCCCTGGTATCTTTTTCATAGGTTTTTTGAGTTTGGGCAAGGACACAGGGGCCCCATGATCCCCTATTGCCCAGGGGCCCCAAGAGTTGTCAGTCCACCCCTGCTTCCTCCACATTTGGAACCATATATTGCCGCTGTACAATGACATTGAAAAGTTTCCTTAGTATTGCTGGATCAAATACGCAGGGGAGATGAAGTCACTTGTCCAGTAGCTGCATGAGCTTAGAGATCCACTGTTCTATTGCACATTGCTGGATTGAGATCGGGCTCAGGTAAGTATAAAGAAGGGGGAGGTTGGGGGGAAAGGGGGAGCAGCATGCAGAAGGTTTTGCACCCTAATGCAGAAATTGCATTAAGGTAAACCAAAAAATTCTGCCTTTAAAACCAATTTAAAGTGGTATTAATGGCTCATTTTTATATTTTTAAATATATACAAATATGTTATACTTACCTGCTCTGTGTAATGGTTTTGCACAGAGCAGCCCCAATCCCCCTCTTCCTAGGTCCTCTGCTGGCACAAATGACCCTTCCCACTTGAACAGTACCCCCATAGCAAGCCACTTGCTATAAATGCACTGCTGCGTTGCTTGCTCCCGAGCCCCACTCTCTGCATCCATAAGACATAGCCCTCCACTGCCTCCTAACTGGATGTGATTGACAGATGTGGGAGCCAATGACTCCCGCTGCTGTGTCTCGGCCAATTGGGGGGGGACAGACTAAGGAGAGCCGAGGCTCCCGTGCACATCGCTGGCCTTAGATTGGGCTCCATGAAATATTAGGGGGGGCTTAGGGGGTTGCCGTACACTTGAAGGTTTTTTTTACCTTCATGAATAGAATTTTGAGGAGGCATGTCCTGCTCTGACAAGATTCACCCCCAAAGGCGGACATGTGTGTTTACACTTACATGCCTGTTATCGCCACGTGTACCATGTAAGTTGCCAAGTGTCTACTTATATAAATGTTTTTAATACCCCCTACACTCAGACATACTCTCTGCCAGGGGCGGACTGACTATTTGGAAACTCGGGCACTGCCCGAGGGCCCGGGGTCAGTAGGGGCCCCATGAGATGCCCCTGGTAGCTTTTTCATAGGCTTTTTTGAGTTTGGGCAAGGACACAGGGGCCCCATGATCCCCTATTGCCCAGGGGCCCCATGAGCTGTCAGTCCACCCCTGCTCTCTGCTGTCGATATCTTTCATATTCATTTGTATGCTTTACTTATCCTGATTACGCGGGCTCTGGTCCATAAAATGCGTTGATTAAATCCATTTTTTTCCAACAAGAATACTGTATGGTGAAATATTATGGTTTGCTAAAGACTACTCTGTAGAGTTTACTCCATGGAGTTTGTTCATTGTGAGTGTATCAGGACAAAAGTGCAGCAGAAAAAAAGTGTATTGTTTGAACAGAAGTAGCTGGATATGGTACATTTAAAGTATTGCTTTTCTTAAAATAACTTTTTCTTTTACCTTTTTGTGGCTGTTGGTATTGGTGATTGCTTACTAGGGACTGGTGGAATTGCATATTGTGCATTGCTGAATAAGAGCTGGGAGTGCTGGGTATTGTCAGTTAGCATATTTAAGGCTGCATTCACACCTGAGCGTAGCGGGAAGTCGCGTACCTGCTCACATTTTTTTTCTTTTTGCGTGTTTTTGCCTTTGCTTGTCGTGCATAGAGCAACCTATTCACTTGAATGGGCTTCCCTATCCACATCAAACAAACTCCAAACTTATTTTGGTGTGCAATTTTACCACGCTGTGATACTATATACTCCTTATAGCATTCTTTCTGAGATAGAAACAGATACAAAGGTTGAAATATAGGTGTTTGTGAAAATGGCAACCCTTCTTTGCATAGGAAGGAGGTCCCCGAGAAAATAATTGCTTTGCCAAAGGTAACTTTTGTATCTAATGTTGCAAATAAAGCAAATCTTCCTGTAAAGTCTCCTAAAAGATGTCATCTCCTTGCTGATGGTTCAGCTGTATGAGGTGTTTCATTAGGAAATCACGTGGAATTGTCAAACGAAGTTAAATATTTATCTGCTGCTACTGTTAGAAGAGATAAAAGGCATATTTTAAAGCAGTATTAAACCCAAAAGCAAACATTTATTATATTGCAGCTCACCAATTCTTAGATGAAATGGATGTATTAGTTGCCTTTTACATAGTTCCTTTCTTCTACTTTCATCTGGTGATCCAGCCAGTTTTCAACAGAACATGCTCTCTTGAGGGATTAGACAAACCATTTAATTAACACTACAAGGGCTTCTTAAAATGGTCAAATTTTATTTATTTATGTAAAACCTTTATCCCAAAAGGAAACAAAAGTGTTTGCTGTAACTGACTATAACATTTTAGCTGGAGTTTATCTTCCATTTGTTAGTGTACTTAAATCTGCTAGTACTTCTAACACTCACCTCCCCCCAGAATGACAATGCTGCTGTCCAAAGGTGCCCCCATGCTCCTTTTTCAAGAGTGGGGGCAGTCTAATACAAGAGGTGTTTTACTGGCCAGATCAGGTGGAAACTGGTAAAGAAAGCCTGAAAAAAACACAAAACGAATGCATCCACCACATCTAATGATTGGTAGACTGCAAAACATTACATTCTTGGTTTTGAGTTTAATAACACTTTTTAATATTGTCAAGAAAGCAATGAAGAGTGCAATGTTGATATTGTTGTGCACCTTGGCACAAATGATTTGTCCCAGAATGATGTGTGTCCTGTACAGAAGGATTTTAAGAATTTTAACAAGGATCTTCACCAGTTAGGGTGCACTCATACATTTTCAGAGGTCTTACTTGTCCAGGGGCGGACTGACCATTTGGAAACTCGGGCACTGCCCGAGGGCCCAGGGTCAGTAGGGGGCCCTGTGAGATGCCCCTGGTAGCTTTTTCATAGGCTTTTTTGAGTTTGGGCAAGGACACAGGGGCCCCATGATCCCCTATTGCCCGGGGCCCCATAAGTTGTCAGTCCGCCCCTGTACCTGTCTATGATGCATGACAAGGGAAAGTATTTGGTATAGCAGAGTTCAATGTTTGGTTAAAAGATTGGTGCAAAGCTTAAGGTG